TTCGGGTTATTGGGTAAGCGTCCTTCCTAGTGATGGCGTTGAGCCTACGATAATCAACGCAGAATCGAACTGAACCATCTTTTTTTTACGAGCACAATAGGCGCTGCCCAAGGTCCGGATGCCGGTTCTATGATGCTGCCGTCCATCATCTTCTTGATTTCGTTCTCTACCGTCTCTTTCTGAAGGAGGGGTATGCGACGAGCCCCTTGTCTTATGGGATTCGCACTTCCGGTGTCTATGGAGTGTTCAGTTAATGAAATAAGGCCAATGTCTCCTTTATGTTGAGAAAACACATCTCGGTGTTCGCAAATAAGCCTGTGTATGCGACCCCTCTGCTCCTCGCTTAATTGGGACGAGGCACAATGCAACATTTCCTGCATTGTTTCTGGGAGTTGGCCATTCTGTGTATCTGTCCTCCGCTCTGCCGTAACTTGTTCAACCCTTTCTCCGACAGTTTCACCAGTTCTCACTTCTGTGCTGGAAATTGGGGGGCCAATAACGTCCACGGTCTGGAACAAACCCACTGCTGTTCCCTTTCGCAAGATAACTGTGTCCTCACTGGGGTTTAAGATGCGAAGCGGAACCCAAGACATATCAGACCGAGTCACTGCTGGGGCGAGAAGTATGCTGTGCTTCTTCAGTAAGCTCTGGATCGGTTCAACAATCCCAATGCCAACTGCACAGTTCTGTCGCTCTATGGCACCTTCGACAACAATCTCAGAAAATGTTGGAATAGCTACTGTATCTTTCACCGTCACTCGGCAGCTCTGTTGTCATACGTTGATGTTTCTCAGAGGAACTTCCAAATTTCCATACACGAGGTGTCTTCTTCCAACGTCGATGACGCAGTTGTGGGTGTCCAGGAAGTCCAATCCAAGAAGAATGTCATTATGAATATCAGCTATCACCATTTCGTGGTGCACCTTTCTACCACCTAGCTGAAGCTCGACTGTTGCCTCCCCATAAACACTTAGCAATGTCTCGTTTGCTTGGAAAACTTGCATGCTAGAACTCTTGATTATTGGCTTGTTATCCAACTGATCTACCACTCTTTTGGAAACGATGGAGATAGTCGCACCCGTATCGAGAAGCATTTCAACTGGAGTTCCGTTGATGTGCCCAGCTACATGGAGGCCCGCCCCAACCGGGGCTATGGTTCCGCTATAAAACACTTTCTGTGGTGGCCTTTCGTGCTTGGCTGACCGTCGGCCCTCGGAGTCAGCCTTTATTCGTTTCCCTGCTGTTCTGTTTCTGTCTTTTGGGTGCGCCATTTGGGGCAGTCCCGCTTGAAGTGGCCCTGTTCTTCACATTTGAAACATCCTTTCTGGTTCTTTCGGGAGTCATTTTCTCGCTGGATCAAAGACTGTAGCTGTTTGCCTATCTCTTCCATACGCTGCTCAAGCTTGGAAACGGCACTGTCGTGGGGTTCACATTTGCCGACCTCATTGACAATCACCTCTTCCTTCCCTCCCCCTATGGAGCGTAGTCTCTTGGTGTTGTTCTCCTGCTCAGCACCTTTTATCGCTTCAAGTTCGATCGCAGCTGTGAGTGCTTCTTCTAAATTACAGGGACGCATTTGAAGCGTCCGTGTCCGCGTGTCTCCATCTGCCAAAGCATCAAGAAAATAATCTCTGGCCATTGTCGCCACCCCGGCGGCTGGAAGCTCGCCGAAAGTCTTGTCATCGAGAAGCCGAATATCCTGTGCGAGCTCCGACAGAGTCTCTCCATTTTTCTGGCGCCTGTTCTTAAGTTGCACCCTATATAGTTCCTTCCATCCATCTGGTTCAAACCTTGCTGTCAAAGCATTCGCCAGACCGCTTAATGTTAACGGTGTCCCATCGTTTGTCTGACCCTGCAGCACCTGTTGGGCTGCACCGGCCAAGGATACAGCAAGATACTCCGTTTTCTCTATCTCCCCCCATCCGTTAATACTGGCACACATTTCAAAGTGTCGATAGTATGCAGTCCACGAAGTCGTCCCATTGTATCTATCGGGTCGCATAAGTGGACGCAACCGCCCCTGCACTGGTTGATCTACATTTCCTGCAGCTGCTGCAAACAGACTTGTGTTTGAGTGTTGTGGATAAGCACCAACAGCACGAACATTTCGCTCATCGACTCCTGGTGTATCATTCCATGGTCGCTGACCTGCTGCAATGTGTTGCTGTGCCGACCTGACGCCTGTGGCTCCGTGCTCGTTGTGTGCACCGATGAACTGTTGATTGACAACCGATGAACCGGGCGGTGCAACCGATGAACTCGCCGATACCCTGAAAACCGACGCATCGCCACCTGGTGCATTGGCCGTCGGTATGACCCCTGAACCGCCAGCGGCACGAACATTATCATACCCTGGTGTACCGTTCCATAGTCCCTGACCGACTCCAATGTGTTGCTGCGCCGCACCGATGCCTGTGGCTCCATGCTCGTGGTGTGCACTGATGACATGTTGATTGACAACCGATGAACCGGTCGGTGCAACCGATGAACCTGTCGGTACCCTTAAAACCGACGCATCGGCACCTGCTGCATTGGCCGTCGGTTTGACCCTCGAACTGCCAGCGGCACGAACATTATCATACCCTGGTGTACCGTTCCATGGTTGCTGACCAACTCCCATGGGTTGCTGCGCCGAACCGACGCCCCTTGCTCCGTGCTCGTGGTGCTCACCTATGAACTGTGGATTGACGAACGATGAACCTGTCAATGCAACCGATGAACCCGTTGGTGCCCCCACAACCGTCGCATCGCTATCCGTTGCGCCAGCCGTCGGTATTATCATTGAACCGCCATCGAGTTGCAGTCGCCCTTGTCCGTCGTGCCACGGTTGCACTGCGGAGCCATTGCTGTGCTGGGTTGTCGTGTCCTCGTTGACTCCATGTACCTGCCTTGTACTGACGAGTGGTGAGAAAACGATCGGTGGACCAATCGGTGCATCGGTGGCTCCATCGTATGATGCGGCGCCGTGAAAGAGTGGTTGCTCCAGTGCTCAGCTGTGGGGTGACGGTGTGGGCGTGGAGGCCTCGGCCGGATACCCTGCGGTTGTCCACTGCAACGAGCCGGTCGCTGGCGGGAGGATCCCCGGTAGCGACAGGAATGAGTACTCCGGGTCAAAAGCTGCACGGGGAACTTCATGCGGCATGTCAACTACAAAACTTGACATGTCGCCTTGCGGGGCAGGGAAAATGGGGGGAATTGTATGGAACCATGGTGTTTGGAGGGAAACGGGTGGAGGGGGCAACGGGTTGGTGTCTGACATGTCGGTGGATCAATCAGGGAATCGTAACTACGAGAAAATTGACCCAAAACAGAAGCGGACTCACCGCTACCACCAATGTAGCATTTTCAGGGGTTCAATTTTATTCAGTGGACAGACAGAATAAGACACAAATGACACCAATATTCCGGTTTCTTAACTACTAATTCTTTCCTCCCAAACATCCAAACAATGAACACACGATATCAGTATTACTTGTGATTTACCTTTATCTGCACTTTACTGGTAATCGCAACGTGGAGCCTGGGGTGTACACACGGAGCTGGCCTTTCAGAACAACCTTCACAACCAAGATCTGTACAGCAACTAACCGCGCACGCGCGCGCACGCACTTTTCGCGCCAATTTCACGCTGACTTGCGCTGACCCCAACCTCCACTAAGAGTCAACAGCGCCACCTATACTGGATTTTGCAAACTCTACAATATCTTTAAAGCTGTGGGTTCAGTTCAGTTCTGTTCAGTGCTGAATGTGTGGTAAAATTTGCCTTCACCCGATTTCACGAAGCGCTGCGACGCGTCGCAACTCGAGTTACGACGTGTAATAACACGTCGCAACTCGCGACGCGTCGTATCTTCCATTTCACGAAAGTTGCGATGTGTGGAACGCGTCGTAAGTTCCTTGACAACGGCTTAAAACATGTCACAAGTTACGACGTGTCTAGTGGTCATCGCAAAATAAGAAGAGTCATTTCTAAGCCAGTTTTTTTGCCATAAGCATTACATTAACGAGATTATAATACCGAGGCAATGTGTGTAAAGTTGTAAATAGAAAATTCATTGAATAATTATGAATTAGACCGGAATATTAGAGTTGAAATTTCAAAGTAGCTATACAGTCCAATTAGAGCTTATTTTCCTTCAAAATTGCATCGCACGGCCGCCATTTTGTTTTACGTTTTAACAAATTTCAAGCTGAGATCCGACGACTCTTTGTTGAATATCAGACGACTATTTACTGTACGCTGACTAAAGACATAAAACAGTCACCGAGTTGTGCTATAAATACACCTACGACGCCTCGCACTTACGACGTGTTTAGTGAAATGGATCGCAGGACGCATTGCAGCTGCGACGCATCGTAGGAGATATGACGCGTCGCAGCGCTGCGATGCATCGTAAGTTACGAAGAGTTTGATGAAATCGGGTGCTGATCCCACATATTTAAAATCTGCGCGCGCACATTTAACATTTGCGTGATATGTCAAAATGGCACTCAACAATTTCAACATGTGTAATGACTCACATCAACTCACAAGTTCCTAGCCAAGTTGCAGGGGCGTAGCAAGGTCATTTTTATGGGAGGGGGGCAAACATTTCTTGAAAAGGGCACTTGCACATCCGTGCTGAAATGTAGACATGTTTTTTTTCTTTAGACACTTAGCCTCCGTAAAAAAAATAGTGTGTGGGGGGGGGGGACACCATCTGTAGATGGGGGCGCTGTTCAAAACCGATGATTATGCACACAAACGGACAATATGCAATGTATGGTGCTTTTCAGGGCGATACATGCGCGAAATTCAAAAGGCACCTGTAATGGTCGATGGTGCAAAAAAGGGCACAACTTTTTTTTTTAAAAGGACACTTGTTCAGAAAAGAAGGCACAAAAGAAGGGCACTCTGAGTTGAAGGCAATGAGAATTTTCTAATTATTTAAAAAGTCTTCCAAACAGTACACAGAGTTACAACTTTTTATGATGCCATAATGTATGCTTTGTTTTTTCAGATACAACGACTGGATGCAGTCGGCAGAGTTACAGCAATTGACAGCGTCTGAGCCCCTGACTCTCCAACAAGAATATGAAATGCAGAAGAGCTGGCACCTAGATGAAACTAGTCAGTACAAATATAATTAGGGTTGGATTGTGGATGTCAAATTAAAGGAGGACATGTGATGTCAAAATTTTCTTGATTTGAAAGTTGCATGTTGAAAATTAAATATATTGTTCTTAATAGTTTTTTCCATTGCCTTTGTGCTTAAGACATAGCCTTTTTTTCACTTTCAAGAAAACATCCACTTGAGCCTTCTTTCATTTTTGTTGCAGAATGTACTTTCATCATTCTGGAGCTGGAGAAATGGGATGATGTGGAGTACCAAGAGATAGGTATGTACATGTACGTGCAACAGCATACATATTGTTGTCTGAAACATTAAAAAAAGATTGTGTCAACATCTACATGTATTTTTTGGTTTGGATTCTTTCTGAAAAAAAGTTCAACCTTTCTTCAAAGGTGCTGCCACTGCAGCTCAGAAGCCAGAAGAATATATTGTGGGAGAGAGGACATAAAAAACCACCTCTGTGGACATTTTTTGCGCCAAGACGCGTTGACGTCATTGATATACATGTGTATTTTTTCAAAAATTGTTTATTGAATCCGGGCACAGGATCAGGATTAATGTACACATGAGGCCCCCTTCAATGGTGAAACCATTGTGCAATCTATTGTGCAAAGCTACTGCACTATGACAAATTATCTGAACAATTGCTAGCACAGTGCTTTCACCATTGAAGTGGACTTTCGTGAGAGAATTAACATCGTGCCTTGATTGGCCTATACACCACACGTCAGGCAAGTCCAAATAAACTGGCAAGGAAACCTGAAACAGGAAAGCACTACCTAAGAAGTACAGTACATGTAGTGATATCCAACCAAAGGTCCGCTCAATTGCTGGTGGTTGGCACCGACATCGTTGCTGTTGTACGCCTTTCATAGCCATGCAGGCCGGCCTTTCTGCAAGTTATCAAGCAGAGACCCACTTAACTCACTCACATACATGTACATGCAATATGGAGCCTAAAACTTAAAACATTGAAAAGGCTTCACATACAATATTTCAGCTACACTTTGCTGTTCCAGCATCTTGTAATGTTTTAATGCATTGGAGGTTAAAAGATCAACTACATTCAGAAAACGTCAGAGCAAATAGGACTAAAGGCACTGAGGCTAATTCAAGAGACCTTTATCATCAAGAACTTGGGAAGTTGTTTTCTATTTAATTTGTTTGTTTTTGGCTGTTTCGGCACTTTTGCCGAAACAGCCTTTGTTTTCGTTTTTTTTTTTTCTTTTTCAGTCATTTTGCCCATAGCATTTGTACACGTTTTTTTTGTCACCGGCACTTTGGGCACTAAAATCAATCCGATTGACTTTATACTTGGCACACACTTAGACCAGCATCTGAAGTTGTGTGCTGAACATTTACGTCATCGTGACGTCATCGACTAATTTATTATAGAATTTTGAATATTTAATTTTTCCCATAGACTTTGTACACAGAAATCGAAAAAAAATTGTCGATTTTCAAAGGGCATTTTTGACTCTTTGCCAGTAATTCATTTGCACCAATCTTTGTCCAAGCAAAGACCCTAATTCAAACAACATTGTGTAATGATGACGTCATGATGACGTCATCCGGTGTGTATTTATAGGCAATTAAATTGTGACACTTTTAATATTTAAAAATGCATAAGAAATCAACCGTACGCGTCCGCAGCATTCTGTTACCGGCAAGTGGTAGAGTAGGTTGAGGTCTTTATTTCATTCAGTGTGCGTGAAATCACGTGACCCTTGCTTCCGGTCGAAAAAGGCCAAAACCGGAAGTGACTTATTATTTGAAAATGGTAATAGATATGAACTTGCTTTTAACTGTGTTAGTCTCTTGGCTGAAAGTATTCTTCAAATCATCTACCAATGACGTCATGCAATCTTCGAGCGCCCTCTAGCAACAGGTTGAAAATTTGCAAAAATGTATTTTGAATAGATGTCTGTGGCGAAGTTTGTCGGAATCGCCTAAATATTGGTGTATATAATGACCTTGACCCACTTAAGACGTGTGCAAAGTTTTAGGCGAATGACGTCATCAGACCGGAAGTTATAATAAAAAGACCCTTTTTCATTTGAAAATTCCTGAAAAATCAACCATGGCAGTTTTTATGTTAGTTTTTACTTTAATTGTCGATTTAAGGGTAGTTCTAACACATTTCAAAGCTTCAAGGCAATAAGCGAACTCGGACATGCCCTGCGCACGCTTAAAACTTCAGGTTGACAATACATCTGCTCTAAAACATGCACAGAACGTCTATATGTACATACACGTACAGTACGTTACGCACATACTATACATGTACATCGTACATGTAATGTCAGTCAGCCTGCAGAGCACGTGTTGCCGAGGTCAAATCCTGTCCACATCACAGTCATTTTGCCCATAGCATTTGTACACGTTTTTTTGTTACCGGCACTTTGGGCACTAAAATCAATCCGATTGACTTTATACTTGGCACACACTTAGACCAGCATCTGAAGTTGTGTGCCGAACATTGACGTCATGGTGACGTCATCGACTAAGTTATTATAGAATTTTGAATATTTAATTTTTCCCATAGACTTTGTACACGCTTAAAACTTCAGGCTGACAATACATCTGCTCTAAAACATGCACAGAACGTCTATAGTACATACACGTACGTTACGCACATACATCGTATGTCAGTCGGCCTGCAGAGCACGTGTTGCCGAGGTCAAATCCTGTCCACATCACAGTGACCTAACTTTGACAGATTTTATGTTCGTGCATGCGCATAGTCAGGGACATATAATAAAAAATCATAATGCCGAAAAGCCCTATGTTACGTATTTAAAGGTGCAGTTTTTCCGCAGTGGGATTTTCCACAAGTCTTTTCCTATACAACACTGATATCTTACTGAGTAGTTCTGAACTTCAGCCGAGAATTACTATGAGAAGGAAAGAGAAATCGTATTTTTTTCGCGCTGTCATTCGATTGAACATATTCCTAAGCGTCAGAATATCAAGTAATATTTCATAAAAATGTTTCAGTTCAAAAGGCAAATTACAAATTTAAAGGTGCAATGTTTCTGCAGTGGGTTTTTTTTTTAGCCCGTTAACTTTGTACACGTGTTAGCCCATGGACTTTGTACATGTTTTCAAGCCACCATTTCTATAACTTGGCAATTTGGAATCGTCATCAATGTTACAGCCAAGGAAGACTCTCATTCAAAAATTATGCCAAGACTATGACGTCATGATGACGTCATCACCTAATTTTTTATTGATTTTTGAAAATTTACGTGCATATTATGAAGTCCTATATCTACAGAACTGTAAGTCTGATTGGGTTGTCGAAACTTGGTATGTGGCTAGACCGGGATGTGTTATAGGTAAAAAAAAATTAGGTGGTCGAGACGTGAACATGATTTTTGCTGGAATTGATAGAATTATCGAGGGTCTTCATTTTATCTAGTTAAAATATGTCTAGTTTGTTTTGATTTTATTCTTGTTTTTTTTTAGATTGTATGTGCGGTGATGTCAACCTTTACTTTCTAAACACAGATGATAGGGATGCAGAAATAGAAATCATGATAGCAGGTATTTATTTTGCAATGCTTTCTATGAAACTTATTGGATCAATTAGCAAAAGCTGCCCAACAAATTAGAGAAAACTATTAGAAAACACTATAAAAAGTAGGTTTTGTTGCAGAGTTTTGTTGCCTCGTAAGTTTTCTGAGTATAAAACTGGTAATTTGTTAGTATGTTTTTCCAATTGTTTGATTGTAAATTCAACCAAAATTCTTTTATAGAACCATCTTGCAGAAGGAAAGGAATTGGTCAAGAAGCTCTTCTGCTCATGATGCAGTACGGTAATATGGAAACCAAGATCTTAAAAACAAAATGACACCAAGAGCTGTAGTCCTGTTACTTTGTATACACAAACTAATAGAATTGTACTTTAATGCTAAATCCATTTTTCTTTCATCCAGGAGTGACCAAACTTCAGGTCAGCCGATTTGTTGCAAAGATTGGGCTCCAGAATCAGCCCAGTTTGTCTCTTTTCAAGAAACTTGGCTTTGAAGAGGTTGTTGCTTTTGTTTATTTTTTTGTCCATCACTACCGATGTAACATATTAATGGAAAAAAACTGGGTGTTTTTTCAATATGTGCAAACAATGAGTTTTTTTTCATTTTCCAGGAATCCGTGAGCGAAGTATTCAATGAAGTGACCTTACAGTTTCAAGTTACTGAGAAAGTCCAGGATCTACTCAGTCTGCAAACAAAACACATGAGATATAGGCATTACAAGCCAAAATGATGACATTGGCTACTAGTCAGATGTTCAGGTACCAGCCAAACAGCCAGTGAGTTCAATCACTCACAGTCAGTTGGATGTTCTAAAAATATCAGACAAATTAGCCAATCAGCAATGAAGTCTGTGCAACTGGAAGTCTGTGCAACTGGAAGTCTGTGCATGTACGCATATATGACACTCGTGGCTGGAAATACAGTGTGGCATTGGAAAGGAGCATGTGTTAATTGCCCACGTGCACAAGGGGCCTTTGCTTCTCATTTGGTTTTTCAGCAAATGCGTTTTTTCTTTCAATGGGTACTTTTCTAGTTTATCCGTGAGTTTTCATGCTAAGTTCAGTCTTGGTCCAACTCTCAGAGTGTACTTGTTCTTGTTTCTGTTCTGTGTTAGTCCGTCCATGTAGGCTTCTCACCACAAGCCTAGGCTTCTAGAAGATGACTCCATGCCTACACTTTCGCTTCTTACTTCTTTTCGACAATTCCATTCACTTTTTATATTCTCTGCTTATATTCTTCATTTGGTATGGAAATAAATGTGAGTTTGAATTGAATTGAATTGAATCTATTCAAATTGGCACTTTTGCCATTATACATTGGATGTGACAGTTAACAAGTGTTGACTGCTGTGATGTGGGATTTGACTTTTTAACACCCGAGGGACGCATAGCACCCGAGGTGAAGCTGAGGGTGCTATGCACCCCGAGGGGGTTGCAGTTAAGAATTTTGTTATATCGTGCCAATAGGTCTCGTTCAAATGACGTCATTTCCTACAGACCAACCACGTGCATCAGCATTTTGAGCGTCAACTTGCGTAAGGCGCATCGGCTGCGTAGTATTTCGAACACATTTCGAGCAACAAGCGCACGTGTTTGGAACATTTCAACACTGGGCAATGCGTGCTTCATTGCGTAAAATACGCAGTTGCAGTTCTCCTTCAGAAATGGCCATTATTGAGCGAACCCTATAACTCGAAAAGATTAAATGGTTGTAACTTATTGTCTGAGAAATAAATTAAATCACTGTGATGTAACCTGTGATAACTGAAGGTTTTGATGTCCTGCCGGACATGACGTTGCAGTTCTCCACATTGCGTAAAGCTAGCGCACCAGCAGGTTCCACAGATGGCAGGTTCCACACACTGCTAGATGGCCGTCAGATTAATTACTTGGCGACTCATTTGGCCAGAAGTGACCAACAAGTCACACATACCTTCAACTCCCATGAGACATGCACAATAAGTAATCTGTATAGGTGCGGCAGGAACCCGACCATCCTAGGTTTTGCCCTTCACTGACGTATAGACGCTGTATACTCGGTGTGTTACCTCCCAAGTGAAAGTTGCAAAATGTCTCGGGTGGGACTCAACTCACTACCTCCATCTTCTGAACAGTTTAATTGCGGTACCCACTGCTACATGTATATCAGATTTTTCCAACTTTCACTCAAAAGAGGTAACACACTGAGTATAGTGTTTATACGTCAGTGAAGGCCAATACCTAATATTGACTTACATCACCCCGACACAAATTCCATCTTCTGTACAGTTAGTGTCCTTAGCAGTCGGAGGCACCCCACCCCAGGTCCAAATTATATGCTGTTTGCAAACAGTCCAGTTTGCATGTGTGACGTTTGTAACAATTACAAGTTTCTCCAGGGAGGGTTGTTAGTCGTTCACCTGGATAGTCAGGTAGAGGGGCTGCCTCCATTGCAGCATCCTGACTCGCTTGGATTTTCTGTCGGTGTTGCCTTCACCTAGCCTTTATGGGTCCACCCATAAATGGGTCCACCCATAAATTGCAAGGCAGCAGATTGATATGTCACCCGTGAATCCTACACCCTAGACTGTTGACTTGGCACTAGTGAGCGTTGTCTGCCCTCCTTGCCAGTCAGGAGTACCTGCCTGGCTACCCTCGTGTAGTTTATCCAGTGAGCAAGGGCGGATCCGGGGGGGGGGGGGGGGCATTGCAATGAAGGCAGGCACTGTGTACACCACCATCTTTTCCTAAAAAAAAATTGGTTAAAGTGGTCAGAAATTGCCTGAGATCGCATTACAGAGCATCTAGAATCCAAACTTTTTCCGGGCCCTTAAGCGGGCCCCAAACCCCTCGCCGTAAATTTTGGGACCCACTTTTTGGGGGACCAAACAAATGTTTGGCCCCCCAAAAAAAACTTTGCTCTGGATCCGCCCTTGCCAGTGGGTGGCCGTCGCTGTGCCCTGCAACTTCTTGGAGTCATACATGAGAGTTGGGGACCATGCAGGGGGGGACCAGTATAGATCTGCTACCCGTAGAAGATACAAATGCAGATGCAATTTCTTTTTTTGGAGAAAGTTTAATTCATGTTACACTGCTGTCATGCATATTAAGTATTAATTCTACAAGTTTGTTTTACACACATTATGAAGTGATTCAATCCAGACACCTGATATTAAGTGTATACAAACAAATCCATTAACATTCAAATTACATTTTCAGTCCCAATTATACAAATATACACACAGCAAGTTAATTCATAGGAATGCTTGTTGGAAATTGGTTGCATGTTAAAATATATCTTGAGTAAATTCAGCTTTGAAAATGAAACGCGAAAAGGAGCACAATATATTTTATTGTATGACAGAATTTACCTATTGCCGTGAGCCTCACCCCTTAGACGAGCCGCTTGTGTACGCTTGTGTACGCTTGTGTGTGCGGTGCGAGATACATGCTACTAAATCCAGTTATTATAATAGCGTAAAACAACGGCATGCGCATTACACACACGCTCTCAAAGCATTTACTGCACACAAGTACACATCCTAAATTGTCAGCATTTGCATTCAAATTTTGACATGCGAATGGCTGGCTATAGGTCAATTTCTCTAGAAGCCCTTTAAAATTTGAAAATACAGGAAAGCTGCCAAGTTGATGACTAGCAATGTTTTTTACTGGTCCTTTGATTTAAATTTTCTCAACTCTTTAAACACAAACGATTTTGTTTTTTTGCATCTAAAACTACGCTAGCATATTATATTCTTTGCTAAACAAATGCACACATTTTTTCTTAGATTACTAAAAAAAATAGAATTGATTTATATTTTTAACAAATTGCATAAGACCATTTGATTAAATGTGTTGTGACCTGATACTACAAGATGTGTCACAGTTTCGTTTGACACCTTTGACCAGTAAAATACTAATGCAAATTCAATTTTTTCAAACCGAGGCAGCTGCTAGTATTTTCTGCAGCTTTAACATTACATTAAAGCACTTGGGTTGCATATTTTAGTGTTGAGTTTTTACAAAATATTCTTTACATATCTTCTAATGAATTAACATTAATCCCATTGTAGAAAATAATTTGCATAGACAATTATATAACTTGCTATATTTGTTAACAATTACAAAACTATTACAAAAAAATAAAGCATATGAAGTAGGAAGAAATTCATATTTGCATGGCCAATAGAAAAATATTGTTTAAAACAAGAATTTAGTGATGTTATAAAAAAGTCTTTCTGGAGAAATATAGTGTTAGTTCTTATAAGTTAATTCAACAGGGAGAGATTGAACAAATTCTAAGATGAAAGCTTTTGCATACTTTTTAAGTCACTGCTTTAATTTGAGCTGATAACCAAAAATAGAAGGCACTTCCATTACACACAATGAACCTTTGGGGAAAAATACCCCGTTAATTACACATTGACGATGAGCACATTCTCCTCAGCAAGACATCTTTTCTAAAACTGTATTAAACTTGCAAAAGCTTTAGAATGCCAACCTGTAAATGACGGGAATAAAATAAGCTAAATATGGCTTGGTTCTAGACCGTCAATACTTTGAAGGGCATGGAAATCATCTTTTTAAAAGCATACATCCTTTTTAGATTTCTGCATTTTTGGATGATATTTCAATATTTGAAGAAATAAACAAATAAGGTTTATGTAGGGAATTGACCCGACATTCAGTCCTGTCCTATATCATAACTTTCGGTTATCAAAAGTAAAACACATTTCCCTCCCCTGTATTGAAATCCAACCTTTCAATTACTCACAATTCACTCCAGGACGGCAGGCTACATTTACAATTGTCAGCATGTCTGTATTTCAATGTTATCACAATGTTAAGACTGTTACAGTTAAGCAAAATGCTACTGAAAGAAAGAGAAAGTACCTCTGCAGAACCTCATTTGTATACAAACTGGAATTGGAGACGTGTGCACTTTGGCAGGCCAACTGGTCACAACAGCATGCAGTTCACATGTGTGTCCTACCAATGAGCGTGGTAATAACCCAGTAACAGCTTGTAAATACAGAGGCAAAATTAGTCTACGCACGGAATTATATTACAGTATAGATATATAAACCAAAAAAAAAACCCTTTAAAGCAATTCTTAATTATCTATAAATGGAAAACAGAATTCCACAGAAACTGCATTCAAGTATCGCAAACTTTTTTTGAGGGGAGGGTTACTAATTATCTTTGTTACTCATAGTGCCTATCTCTTTATTAATGGCATCCATCCACATCCTGCGCTCTAATCCTGTCTCTGCTGAGAAGAAGAAATCCCGGCCTGGTACCCGCAAGGTGAAGGCAAAGCCCTGCTCTAGCTTGCCCGGGGGCACTCCTTCTATACACTTGTACTCCTTTGTGTTTGTTCCTAGCACAACTGATTTCTTGCAAACGTCATCCTGCAAATGTTAGATAGATACAAAGGTTCTTAAAAATATTGTCATATTCACAAACAATTATTTCTTCTGTAGCTCTGAGCATGTAATTTATTGTAATGTGGCAGCACATACCAATAGATTCGCAAATTTTTGCGTTTTTTAAGCTCTGGCTAGGAGCTTCTTCGTGGTTGGTCAGCTGGTCCATTGGTAGGTCTGTCCCCGGAAAATTGACCAAAAACTGGCCCCCTAGGTTTCCCATAAAATACCAAAATTTAATTTTTACAAAAAAATGCAAACAGAATAAATAAAATACCTCGCAAAAACTGTTTGTAACAACTTGTGAAGTTGTTTATGAACATTTTGTAATGTTATAGTCACGTGGTATATACAGCGCGCTATAATTCCACACGAAAAAGCACGCAATATTTTATGGGAGACTTATGGGGGCTTCTTTTGGTCAATATTAGGGGGCAGATCAGTGCAGCGTGATTTTCACGTGCGAGGCCTCGAGGAGGGCGCATGGGACGGTGTGTGGGATTCTGCAGCTCAGGCTTGTACGAGCAATCTCCGGTCAACGTTGTAGACTTTCATGGAAGATGGCCAGAGCTTATTGTGCACTCGCACTTGTCATTTCTCCACTCCACTTCTTTTTCTTTTGCGTAACTCTTTTTACCTTTTTTTTTTATAAAGTCCGTCCCGCACGCATAATTCCTGTGATAAGTTGCTGAATATATTGTGTGCTGTACAGATAGCACGTAGTCATTGTATGACTCACGAGCTGTGCATACATGTATACACAGCAAAGTGCAAGTCTTCTGAAAAGTTAGTTATGCACCAGACTAGCCAGCCGTGCAGCTGCAGAAATACTACCGGCCACATGTACATGTAGGCTGATATAGCATTGGAGTCCAAGGTAATAGACGTGTATACCCTGAGTTGGTTCATGCCGTGAGAAAACAAAATCCATTTTCACTCAAACCATCTGCTGTTATGGGACATTTTACTGAATAGAATTGACAGTTAATTACAATTGCAACCAGAGATTGCCATTTTGTGGAGCGGGACTTGAGATCAGATGAAAAATTGATTGCAACAGACAGGAAAGATAGTGCTGCAAGTGGGCCTGGGCCTTCGGGTTCGGTTTGCAAATTTGTATCCGAACAATTTTCAAGTTTGGGTTCAGCAGCAGCTTGGAATGTAAAAACAGTTACTTAGGACGTACACCTGTTACTCGTCTGCATGCATTATTGTCTGCAAGCATGGCAACTCGGATTCATAACATTTGGGCAGCGTGATTTTGCGAAGTTGCCACTCGTGCATGTGGTTGCTCAGTCCATGGAAATATGCTCAGTCCACTACGTTCAAAGACACAAGGCGTGGCTCAGAACATGGGTTGTTGTGCAATGTACTCTTAATGACTGCACGTACATGTACTTTTTTAATTAGAAGTAAAATTTAATAATTTTAGAGTGCAAGTTTTGATTGTTTTGGTTGCAGAAACTAAAATATGTTGCACTTAAAAACGTGTTTTTGAACATCATGCAAGCAAATTCAGCAAACTTTGGTTTTGTTTTGTAGCACTAAGGAAAGACTAGCTTTTGAAAATGTGTGGAAGTGCCAGGGTTGGCTTGATTACATGTATGTTCACCAAGAAACGGTGACAAAATTAATGGGTTTTTTCCTTGGGGGGGGGGGGTTATTCCTCACCCCACCCAACATATTGAAACAGTTTATTAACTTACACCATGTACAGCATTTACACCTTTTGTTGTCCAGCTGCGTAACATTTTTTTTGAATCAGTTTTTCTTGTATAAAACAAAATCTCACTCCAGCTGTTAACTGAGATTTGTTAGTGCCTGGAATCTTCTTTTTTCGAGGGGAGGGGGGATTTTTGATCAAAATCATATTTCCAAACTGTTTGTACTCACCAAGGGTGTCTCAAAGTAGGTAATCCGTCTGTATGTGAGGACCACCCAACGCTTCCTGAAAGCTTCATTGCCCTTAGAGCCTGTTTTATGCAGCCAACCTTCTTTCAAGACTTCTCCTCTGTTCAGCAGCCTAGTTACCTATTGGTGGATAAGTAACAACTTGCATAAGCATGAAAGAAACGTGATTACGCATGGACTGGAACCCGAGACTGAATTGCTGTTCCAGTGCTCTCTGCCGGGGCTTACAACCATATATAAACACGTTCATGATCGGGCATGCATGCCCCTAGCAGCCCCCATATTATGTGGCTCAAACATTTTGTCAAATACTGGACTTCTCTGTATTGTGAGCCACACACCAATGCATGCTAGAAGTCCTGAAAAGTTGTTTCATGGATTTGAAATCTATACTTTTTTCCATTTGATATTTGCTATGAAAGCTACTTACCTGGTTAATAACCAGCAAAAATTAAAAGGTACATGACCTTGGGCAAAATACTGCGTTCATTTTTGGACACATTTTTTGCCTGCAAATTTCGCCTGAAAATTGCAGGATAACTAGATATCTAGAGATACAGGACTTGAATTAAAAACAACTTCACTGCTCTACCAACTGAGCTATCCAGCCCTAGATAAACTGCTGGCCCAACAGAGACGTCTGTTTTCAAAACTGATCAACACCCCCCCCCCCATTTACCCAAGTCCCCCTCTTGTGGACATGAATGTGCCCCCTCGAGCACTTTGCATAATGGCCAGTTTTGAAGAGCGCCTCTATTTTGGAAGATGGTACCAGCCTCCCTCCCCCCCCCCCCAACTATTTGATTTTACGGAGGCCGAATGTCTGGTGAACAAAACGTGTCAACATTTCAGCACAGATGTGTCCCCCCAAAAAGGAATACGTTGCTGCACCGATGCAAGATGCCTTTTACTGAGCAAGTGCCCCTTTTTGGTGATGCCCCCCAGTTTGAAAACCGTTCCGCTGACACTGCGCATGGGCCATTCTTCTCAGGCATCTTAACACACTATATTTGTTGTTTGATATTTTCAATATGCCAGGCCATGATAAATGCTCAGTGTCTCTTCTACATGTACGTGCCAAGGTGTTTGTTGAACATTTTGCAGAATGTTTTAACCTTGTCTCCCATACTTTATACCAACCTCCTCCTGGCCAAGGCCACCTGGGAAGGCCACCATGAGACGGTTGTACTTCATGTGACGGATTGCATTGTACCAGTCTATGATCTCCTAAAGAGGAAAAGGGCAAAAAGTTGAGTAGGACATTTATACAAACTCCATTCACAATAAAGTATTACAAAGGAATAGCTTTGATTTAGAAAACATGGTTAAACAATACAGATGACAGTCTGTGAGTGCTAGCATCAGTATGGACTCCCAGGTACAGATTGACTAGCGAACCACCTCGCTTCTATCTCATGTATGGTTATTTTTTGCATGGTATATTTTGGAAAAGTCAAAAATTTCCTTTTCCTGAAATAAGTGTTTGAGATTTGAAATCTACAAAATGGTGTTACAGTAACGCCCTAAATATTATCCAGGGTGGTAGGTAGAAAAATAATTTATTTTGTAATTTGTTTTATGTTTGTCTGTCAGTATTTTACACCTACTTTCTTTATTTTAGGGTTCCTTTAACAGTATTCTATTCAAAGGGAATGTACATCATTGGCTTTTGCTGTAATTTTCAGAAATGGAGTATTTGAGTGGTTAGTATTATATATCAAATATTGTTACACTGACATGTTTGAAGTTTTGTGTTCGAAAATGCTGGAAAAACCAAGAAAAACAAAATTTTTCAAGTAGTCTGGTTCCCTGACTCCACTAAAGATGAAATGGATCAATTTATATTTGCCAGAAAATTGTAAGGTAAGGGAACCAGTCTAGCTGGCCTGCATCCATTCATAAACATGTAACCAATACCAAACAAAATTTGGACTGAAAAAGGGTAAATTTGGAGCAGTAGTTGAAATATAGTTAGGTTTTTCAAACGGTGGTCGGCCGACCACCGTTGGAAATGTATACAAAAATACCATTTTCTTGAAAATGACTCACACCAGGTGCCATAATTTTACAGGATGCTTTAGACTGTCATTTACCAACATCCTAGTAAGGTATTTCTTAAAAACTTGGTAGTTTTATTTTTCGATGTTTGCAAATGTTGTATATTCCCTTTAAGTAACCTGTTTTATCATTTAATTAACCAATAACACACACACACACAAAAGTCCCATAGGGAAGAGCTTTTTATTTTCAAAATATACTTTATTTTAAGTTTTGGGCCAAATGTGGCAATAAGGGGTTTGATTTAAAAAAAAAATCAGATAGGTTAGGTAACCATAAGCACAATTTGTGTTAGGCCCTAGGCCTTTGTTATCCGTATGTGTCTAACTTAATACCATTCCCCACTTTGAAAAATCCTGGATGAGCCTCAAAGTCAAACTCTGTGCAGTGTGTACAGTGTGCATAGTACCATTGCCACGGTGACAGAGAGATGAAAACTTCAATCAAACTTTCTTACATAAATAGAGCACTTCTAATGAAGTAGTTAGATCTTCATTAAAGTCAGCCCTGCAATGCAATGGGTTTTTTTAATTCTGAGTTTTATACAGTGTAATTTGGGTTTGTATTTGTCTCACACAAGCAAGCTAGTGGATGTTTCTCTCGCAATCTGAGTATTATATGCTGCTTAAAAAACAGGCTAGAGAAGTACAAAGCCCAACATGACAGCAATTTCCACCATCTTTGAATGGTTTGAAGGACTGTGACTGAGCCCTAGATACAATGTAAATTATTCATGTACCACTTACTTTGCCAGTGTCAGTGTAGACGTAGATGTTGCGAATCTCCCCACCTTTCTGCTCAAAGTAAAGCTGCATTCCGTTGGGATTGCCTACCTTGTCCTGGCAGAAGGCCACATTGAGACTCCCAAGATCGATGACAGCCTTAGGCTCCTTGGCCTGCAAAGCAAACAATGACAAGTATACAATTAGCACTTGTTTTGAATATATTTTCCTGTTTTGCAAACAAGAGAGAATTAGTATTATAAGAAAACAAGAAACTAAGTGACAATATCCTTTACTAAGTTCAAATTCCACAAATTGTTGTCAAGCTACCCTGCTGAATGTAATTAGGCCGGAAAAAAATAGTTCTGCTTCCGATTACATGCCTTCCAAAAATAGGGTCGGTTGGTCGAAAAAAAAAAAAAAAATTTTTTTTTTTTAAATTATTGTCAATATATTTACGTTCGATAATTCTTAAAAAATAATGGAAAATTCATGTGTGGCCCGCAGCCGACAAACCTCGTTTTACGGTCGAACATTTTGGGAAACACGCTGCATGTACAAAAATGTATCACTCCAAATACGAGTAGTGCAATCTCAAAATGAACTCTTGAACACGGAAAATACATACACAGACAAGATAGATCAATTCTGTGAATTAACTTGCAAAAATGTTCTTTCTCCATCGGTGTTTCCTTGGCATTTTTACGATGTCGAATCCGACCAGTTGACACTGACAGTGCATGTGCCTAATGCATAGCCAAGCTAGCGCTATCGATCGCATAGCCATGACAGACTTCCGCTCTTTCATCATGTCTTCTAAATTGGCCCCTGCGCGGCGCGGCGGGAACCAGTCATCACTGCATTGAGCAAGGTTTACGCACGTGATTATAGTCACCGTGACAGCGAATTGCGAGGTATGATGACAGATGGCGAAGCGAATTTGGTTTCGTTTGAAAAAAATAGCGAATGTAAGTAAGAAAGCAATTAAATACAAGCATTTTTTTTACGCAAATGGGTTGTTGAAAGGTATTTTGTGAAGACAAAAAAGACAACAAGCTTTTATTTTTATTTATTCAATCATTATTATTTTTTTTTTTTTTGGAATTGCCAATAAAAAATTTAGGGTTGCAGCCTAAATATAGGGTCGGTCGGGTAACCGGAAGCAGAAGTATTATTTGTTTTGGCCTTATCCTTTCTCTGGGCCCATGTACAAAATGAGAGGTCCCAGCAACTTTGAATAAATACATAGCCTAGGGTTGGTATGCAAGCCAACCTAGGACAAAAGGTTTGTACAGTGGTGTTTTCCTAGCCATCTACCTGTGTGATCAGGTTCAAATCCCTACCAGGCCAATAAGTACTGACTTTTCAGTCTCTGCAAAATTCTGTGGGGTTTTTCCCCTGAATTTTCATTCCAAGATTTTCCTCCCACATCTAAAGCTGAACATTTTTTATCAGTTCACTTCTAGGTTTTGTTCATGCTCCTGAGCTACATGGCAGTGCACTTTTGGGAGAAATGTTTGCTTGATTTTACCAGGAAGAAAGAAATTAGAATAACTTGCATCTGTTTTGTTGTAGTATTTGATGGTGTAGTCTGTCTCTGAGAGGACAAATCGTCGCTCCATAAAGTTCTGCTTGTCCCTCAGTTTTTTCCACATCACTCCCTCCATCTCTTTGGTACGATACTTCTGCAGATTGACGTTGATGAACTCCTGTCGCTCATACTTACCACGGATCCACTGCTCACGGACCACCCTGAGCAAACAAATAAATGACAAATTGATGTGTTATGACAATACAGGGCTGTAATAGCAGGGAATAATCTTTTTAACTAATAACTCAACAACTACAAGGCCCTCAGGTACATGTACTGGTATGTCAACTGTCACTGTGTCAGGCTTCTTTTACAATACAACTGTCAAATGAAAAAAAAATTGAATACGAGCAATTCACAATTTTCCCTTGATGATACACCTTTCAACTTTACAGTTGATATCCAGCAGATTTTTGTGCTGCAGTCGTTCACTTGTTCCTCACTGTTTACATCCACAAACTACAGGCTTGTACATAAAGCTATCCATAATCACAGAAAAACTTCCAACTTAAATACTGCGTAACTGAAAGGGTAAAACTGCCAAGTCCTTGTACATGAAGAGAACACGCTTTTAGATGATGAAAGCTAAGCAAATTAAGCTAAGATTAAAGCTAAGATGAAAACTAAGAAACTTTGTTGTAAATGATTATTGGGGAACAACAATTCAAGATAAACATTTTGATTTAGGATTTCAGAAGGAGCACTTGACATTGTAAGTATTTTGTCATTGTCACAGACAAGCACCAGTTATAAGTTCAGGCATAGCATACAATGTACAAACTAGGTTTTCCAATATGGCGCACTCATTTAAGCGCGAGGGAAAACCCAAGCAGCGTGATTGATACCACTGCATGGATGACTGTGTACAGGTATGGAAAAGTGTAATGCATATGGAAAAAAGGTGATTCGCTAGGCTCTGTCGATATATATAAATACAGTCAAACACTGTTAATACGAGCTCAAGCGGACTATCAAAAAACCTTGAATTATCCAGTACTGGTACTTCATATTATGTGTAGTGATGGTTTTAGCATTTACAGAGTAAAAGCTGTGCGCCATTCATCTGTGTTTATTGTTTACGTTGTAGTACGTAGTTGGTGCACAACTACATGTACAAGCCTTTTTTTTAGGACAAAAAAAAATTTCTTTGTTTCGCCAGAACAATTTATAGGCATTTATCAGCAAGTGAAATTTTTTCTTTCTTGTAGCATCTAAAAGAAAACATCGTTGTCTAATATCACATCTCTGATGTGTACATTGTACAGAATGGTCGGGATTGACGAAATATGCTTGTTGTAAAATGTGTGATCTCGTACAAACCGCACTCATAATACCCGTGCTCGATTGTGTGACATCGATGTTGCCAATTTGTTTTTTAGTATCAACAAAATTAAAAATATTGTTATGAGAAATGGAATCGAAAAGAAGCCTTTTCTGTTGTGTTTCCGCACATTGGATTATGGTCTGATCACTGAAAAAATGAAAAACAGCTTTTTATGTAAGGAAAAAGGAGAAACCTAAGAAATACTGATTATTTATGTCTCTTATCAAATTCAAAACAGAACCCTTAAAGCGCCAGACACATGTACGTTAAAATTGACTCATCTCAATACATGGCATGATACAATGTATGTCATCCATGCAAGTGGCTTGTGTGGACGATCCATTTAATCTTCCATAGTGATTTAAATCTTTGATTAGGTCAAGAGCAAATTTTATTACACATGATTTTATGCTAACATTATGAAAACATTTTTCACTAATGAGAATGGCTTTGCTTGTATGCCAAAAAAATAACTAACTTTCTGATTTTTAACGTTTGAAAAATAGGCAAATGATCTGCTGAATGTAAAATGATGTGCTCCAAAGCAAAAAGCTATACTCTCAACCAGGAAGAAATTACTGAGCAAAGGTCTGTACAAGGAAATAACATCCAATTTCCCGCAATTACACGTACCATACATTTGTATGCAATTCAAATTCCCAGAATACATGTACAGTGTTTTAGCAATTAGTAAATTAATGATGAAGTTATTTGTTTATTTCATGTCATATGTTTTTGGTTATTTGTGTTTTCGTTGGTTTGTTGTTGTTGCTGGGTGTTTTTTTAAGGTTGAGCTAGACAATGCATGTATACAGGATGTGCACACAACTTTGCATCATGTAATAAAAAAAATGTGTGTACACATGTACCGTAGCACTGTCATACTTGTCCACTGAAATTACATGCATGTATTCGTACAATTACGAGTAGGTATCAACTGGTTTCCTTGAGAGATTTCTAGTTATTTAACTGTGTGACTTGCAAAAGATAAAGGTCAACAGTACAGTATGCTAAAGGCCAATACTGAACACATGCCAGAGGTCTGAGATTAATTGTGTTGTACAAATTAAAACCCTATAACTACATGTACATCAATTAACAAACACAACACACGCACATACCGGTAGGTACGTGTTTTTTCAATGGAATGGTTGCTGCACTTTTAAAGATGAGTGCATATGCCCTCCTGACTAGGGTCACATTGTACTTAACACATAGTGCAAGTCAGAGCATGTACTAGTACATGTTGTACATGTACCATATGCATACTACATGTACATCCGCACTTTGTCCTAGTACTATTGTTTGGATTGGAAAACAGCACACATAATTTATACAACATACAAAACATACCACTATCAGCAAAAGATATACGTACTACCTTGACTAAGTATAAGTACATTGTACTAGACCATAAACTGAAACACTACCGTACTGTAGATTGCATTTCAGTTTTTAAAAAAATGGTGGCCTAAGCAATGAACTAGAATGACAATGGGGAGACATTTTCATGCTATATCTTTTCCGACCAATCTAAAAAAAAAGGCGAGTTTCCTCTACTTTGTCACAACCAGTCAGGTAGGAATTCTCCTCCCACACCCCCCCTCCCCCAAAAAGATAATAAAACATTAATTGACTAAAGATTACGCAGCAGCTACAATGTTTAATGAGGCTTTACATTTGGGAGTTTTCTGTGGAAGTGTGCATTTGTACAATAAGGCCTCAAAATAGTTAGCCGAGTAAAGATACAGTTGTTATTGTTTGCAGGTTTAAAAAAACTTGTCAGTGGAAAAGAGAAGTGAAGAGGTACATAAATGACAAAAAAACTAAAGCAAATCGGCGGGGGGCCTGGGCGACTTGATACTATCATCTGACATGTCCAACGATTGGGTACGATCCAGTCACCGTTTTGAAATGGTAAGAATTAATCTTATATATTTCTAAATCTAAAAATTAATGTGGCCTGACGTTGCGAACTTAGCAAGTTCTTCTTCAGAGGCTAAAACAGAAATGACAGAGGTACATACATTAACATGGGGGTGCACACAAACATGCAGGGATGAAAGAAGAAACACAAAAGGAGGATTAGGTAAGAAAGGTGTGGAAAGATGCAGGGCAGGGTGGATGAGAGAACAAAGAAACAAAGGGAGATGGCAAACCACAAGGGGTCTGGTATGAACAGGGGAGGGACCATAAAGGGGAAGGATCAAAGGTCACAGGGAGTGGGAACGGACAAAAGAGTGTGGGAGTGAAGGGGGATTATGAGGGGGGGGGGAACAGTATGGAGGTGGAAAGGGATGAAAGATGGGGAAAGATGGGGAAACACAAACAATGAAGACCAGGTGGATTATCTGTAACAGAAGACAATGGAGGAAGAAAAATATTAATCATTTCCAAGTTGGATGTTGAGACCATGTGGTTGAATAGTTCGAAGACGATTCATCCACACTTTCTCTCTGCTGAGGCGAACTGAGTCCTTGCGATGGCCAAGAGATTCAATGCCCTGCAAAATCATATCAGAAATGGAGTGGTTAGGCAGGTTGAAGTGATGACCAACAGGGGTGTCTAGTTTCTTGGTGTTGACCGTTGACCGGTGGGCATAGAAACGCTTCTTGAGCGTATTCTTAGTCTCACCTACATACTGCACTCCACAGACCACAGACTTATATATTTCTTTCGGTCCCTCTTTCTTTCTTTTTTCTCGACAATAATTCTTCGCTGGTTTTCTTATTAACGGTTTATTTGTAACTCTGAACCGACATCGTCCTTGATCCAAAGGTGTGCATATCATTCTGTATCAAATTACAAGCGATTTTTGTTTAAAACATGACAATATTCTGTCATTTATACATGTACATGTACTGTATCTCATGAACAAAATGAACCATCACGTTCATACTTTGTGATATGACGCAAGTGTAGACCATGCCTTGCTACAAATGTTTGATTACCCAAGTCAAAGTCGTTTGACCTTTCCTTCCAAGGCTACCGGAAGGTCACATTTGCCGCTAGGTGAATTCAAACTATGGAAATGAGCCTCAAATCAAAACAAACTTTGATTTTTTCCAATCAGTTGACGTGGTGGTAATAAAACCTGGTATGAACTTTCAGTATTCCCGGAAGTGCAATGAAAATTGAATTTAACTTGAAAACAGAAGCCTTTTACTTGACTTGCCAATTTAACTCTCTGCGTTCTGATTCGTAAACCTTTGCCCGTACCATACCGTACGGGTACAGTATGCATCCGGTACATGAACAATGTACCGTGTATTATGTTTACGTCCATCGGAGCACCATATGCATGGGGACCAGTGAAGTTAGACTTGAAGCATGCGTAGAATCAGTGCGCCGTGCAAATGGAGCGGGATACTGGGTTCATATTGTCTTAATACATGTACACACCTCGAGTGTCGGTTACGAATGGGGACAAAGAAATAAACCTACTTGTGTTCAAGACTACTTAGGCAACCTGCATGCGCTATGCGCATGGTACATGTATATCTGCATGCAAAAACGGTGCAATGAACAAAGAACAAGTTTACAGAATGTATACCATAAACGAAGAAGAATAAAAAGAAAAACAGAAAGAAATAAAGAAAAATTGATTTGAATAATTCTAATTAATTGTACCCTTTTAAAACGGTGATCGGGTTGTGCCCGATCACCCAATTCTGCACACTGCTGAATTGTACACAAAAAAATGCCCCACCCCGTGGAACTGCTCTAATACATTTATAGGCTTATGGAACTTGATTTGGTTTGAAAATTCCAAAATGTGTCATGAATTCCTTTTAAAGGGGTAGGTTTCACTGGTGTACATTCCAGATCATTCCTTAA